TACATTCCACCCCTGGTCACTGGAAGTCAGAGACAACCAGCAACCAATGTCAGCATATATAAAAGATATTAAAATATAATGGCAAATTTATAAAATAAATTAGCCATAGTATTAGATGCAACTGATATTAATAAGAAGTAATTAACACTTGCGAAGGGGATTGTACCCCTGGGTGTCAAGACATGTACAAAAATATTTCTCACACTGTTGTGAGGTAAGTGAGATTGTTTCCCACCAAATTTGAGACATGATTTTCCAACCTTTTCTTGCTGAAATTCGAGTAGTTATAAGAAAATGTTTAATTTGCTTTACAGCTAGCTTAACCATAGGTAATATGGACCTCTAAGGTCCAAATAAGCCTACTGGGATTGCTTTGCCTATGTATAATCACTTTATTAAGAATAAGTATATTCCAAAAGAGACTCCAAGACACCCAGTTAAAGGAGCTGGGGACTGTTAGGTAAGTTAAAATGGCAGCTGAGGCAAGAGAGAGCAGCATGTGGTATTCAGGCAAGGGAAAGGTTTATGTGCAGGCTGCCTCTGGTCAAGTTGGAAACCCAAACAGCAGGAATAAAAAAGGGTCAAACCACAGCCAGGTCATGACTTACCAAGGCCAGGGGTGGAAGGTGTGGCCACGCTGGATGCCGATGTGACCTCAGCGTGGGGGGGATTACTGCCTCCAAGTGTGTCGGTTACTTAGGTGACTCAGGTACTGGGTAGAGAGACTTAACCAAGAAGAGAGAGGAGTCTTCTCCACCATCCCTGGGTGAACCTTACAGGGACTTTATTATAGCCTCATGAGGTCCACTTCCTACTACTGGGAAGGTAGGAGAATGGCCTTGAGCTCAGGGTAGGACGGGTTTTTATAGAGGTAAGGTTACATAGAGTTACTTAGATGAGCTATGCAAGGCAGGTTTGGCACATTTTCATTGGTTATAGTTACATGAACTTTAAATTCATTTGTTCTTTATAGTAAATATCATATGTAATAATTTGCAATAGGCCACCTATAGTGGGATTACTCAGTGGTGGTCTTCAGTTGGTGGACTTAAGGCCCTGTTACTGAGGCAAGCCAGCAAGGTTACAGAAGCAAAACAGCAAAAACATAGCTTTGAGTCATAAGAGCATAGGCAAAACAGAATCTTGACTTGGGTCAGCATAACTGATACTATCAGTGCTATTGACACTATTATAGAAATTATTATTATTATTATTTTTTTGTCGGTCATGGGGCTTGAACTCTGGGCCTGGGTGCTGTCCCTCAGCTCTTCAGCTCAAGGCGAGCGCTCTACCACTTGAGCAACAGCACCACTTCCGGTTTTCTGGTGGTTAATTGGAGATAGGAGTCTCACAGTCTTTCCTGCCCGGGCTGGCTTTGAACCGCAATCCTCAGATCTCAGCCTCCTGAGTAGCTAGGATTACAGGCGTGAGCCACCGGCGCCCGGCTAGAAATTATTTTTATTATAAGCTCCTGACTAATACAGCAACTCAGTGCAGCTGGTGATAAACCTCAAGGTTGTCAGTAGCCTTCTGCAAAGCTGCCAGCTTGGTAAACTGAAGTGAGGGAGAGATGTTCTTTTGCTTTTTAATAAGGATGGATAAGGGGTTTTTCTTTACCAAGAGTTTTTGCCCTTTATCAATAGTTTTGTTCTGTTTTCTTTTTTTTTTTTTTTTTTTGTCTGGTCATGGGGCCTGAACTCTGGGCCTGGGCACTGTCCCTCAGCTCTTCAGTTCAAGGCTAGCAATCTTCCACTTGAGCCACAGCACCACTTCCGGCTTTTTTCTTTTTGCTTATGTGGTGCTGAGGAATCGAACCCAGGGCCTCAGGCATGCAAGGCAAGCACTCTACCACTGAGCCATCTTCCCAGCCCTGTTTTCTTATTTCATATTTTTGTACCCATGGATATTCTTTTCCCAGGGAAAAGGGGGTATAGGGGAGAGAGTAAATTTCCAACAGCAGGAGGGACTGAGGCCAGACAATAGCAAGAACTTTCTGCCAGTGAATAGCAGTTCAGATATTACATAACCACTTTGTTAAGAATAGTATATTCATTTTGCCTCTGTATAACCACTTTGTTAAGTATATTCACTTAGCTTATGTGTAACCACTTTGTTAGAAATAAGTATATTCACTTTGCTTATGTATAACCACTTTATTAGGAATAAGTATCCTCATTTGGCAAGATTTGTTAAGACTTGGTCTCCACCCCAAAGCATATGTTCTTGTCTTTAAAAGTGATGTGCTAGCTCTGTTCTGGGCTGCTGGACTTTGAGTCAGGAGTCCACCATGCAGTCACAGGCCTTTTAATAAATACTCCAAATTCGACCTTTTTAACTTGTGGTAGATCTGAAACCCATTAACTGAATTACCATATAACATTATCCCTGGATCAATCATAAACTAGTTCTGTGTTGTGTTTTTGAGGAATCGCTACACCGATGGGCAGAAATCAATGAAGTGAATCTGCAGTTTTACATGGCCCTCAAATGCCTCAGGTGACTCACAGAAATGACTAAAAGAAGCACTGACCACCCCCCTTCCCTAGGACAATATATATGTTTCTCATAAAGCAAACTCTTTATAAAAGGATTATCAAACATCCCATTACTATTTCTTGAAATAAGCAAACACTCCCAGACAGCATTTAAAGAAGACTTTTGCAGTTTTTTAAGATCTCTGACCTAATGTAGGGGCATATTTTTATTTTTTAATTTACTTTATTGTTATTTACAATTACTGTTTTTGATTTTTGTCTCTTTCTTTCTTTCATTCTTTCTTTCTTTCTTTTTGCTTATGTGGTGTTGAGGAATCGAACCCAGGGCCTCAGGCATGCAAGGCAAGCCCTCTACAACTGAGCCACCTTCCCAGCCCCTTTTTTCTTTCTTATTTATTGTTTTTTTTGTCTCTTCCTTTCTTTTCCTTCCTTCCTTCCTTCCTTCCCTTCCTTCCTTCCTTCCTTCTTTTCTTCCTTCCTTTCATCAGTTGTGAGGCTTGAACTCTGGGCCTGGGCACTGTCCTTCAGCTCTTCAGCTCAAAGTGAGGGCTCTACCACATGAGCCACAGTGCCACTTCCGGTTTTCTGGTAGTTAATTGGAGATAAGAGTCTCACAAAGTTTCCTGCCCGGGCTGGCTTTGAACTGCGATCCTCAGATCACAGCCTTCTGAGTGGGTAGGATTACAGGTGTGAGCCACTGGTGCCAGGTTATAATTAGGTTTTTTTTTGCATTGTTCTTATGCTTGTTTTTATTTTTATTTTTTATTGTGAAAATACTGTACAGAGGGGTTACAATTACATGGGCAAGATAGTGAGTACATTTCTTATCCAGCATTGTAGCCTCCTCCTTTGTCTCCCCTTCCCATCCCTTCCCATCCTCCCCCCGCCCCCCCCCGTCCCCCCCAATCCTCCCTCCTCCCGCCCCCACCAAAGTTGTAAAGTTCGTTTTCGACATGACAACTTGTACTTATTGTTGCAACAGGTCCACCTGTATCCTTATTTAAATGACTTGTTTTTCCCCTTCCCCTCCATAAATTATACCGACATCAAATACAGTGAAAACAGGGGTTATACTGTGGGGGAGGGACATACAAAGCAACAAAGAAATAATCTTATAAATGCGTTAGAAACAAATGCATGAAAGAAAAAAAACATTTAAATACATATCTTAGGGTTCATTTTCCTAGCATCACCTTATCTGACCTTTTCTGCTTCCTATGTTTCTTTGGGCTTGGCTTAAGTGAAGTAAGCCAAGCCCAAAGAAACATAGGTCCCATGGTTTCCCTTATTTACAATTACAGTTTTAACTAGGCCCTTGGATGCCAACCAGTTCCAAAGCCTGGGAGCTGTCCCAACATTGTGGTGCTGAAAACAATGGCACCTCAAAATGACTGGTAGCCTCTCATTAACGCCGAGTTAGGGAAATGAACCCTAAGACATGTATTCAAATGTTTTTTTTTCTTTCATGCGATTGTTTCTAACACATTTATAAGATTATTTCTTTGTTGCTTTGTATGTCCCTCCCCCACAGTATAACCCCTGCTTTCACTGTATTTATGTGGGTATAATTTGTGGAGGGGAAGGAGAAAAACAAATCGTTTAAATAGGGATACAGGTGGACCCATTGTAACAATGAGATGTACAAGTCGTTATGTCGAAAACGAACTTTACAACTTTGATGGGGAGGGGGGGAGGACTGGGTGGGGGGTCCGGGGGAGGATGGGAAGGGATGGGAAGGGGAACAAAGGAGGAGGCTACAATGCTTGATAAGAAATGTACTCATTATCTTGTCCATGTAATTGTAACCCCTCTCTACAGTATTTTCACAATAAAAAAAAAAAGAAAATGTAACAGGAACACAGAGTTGCTGCTAGAGGGTTAATTGGGGCAGCAGTCCTGGGGGATGCTGACAAGCAGAGAGTTGGCAGATGTCAAAAGGCTAAGGAGAGGGTGGAAACGAGCAATTCTGCTTCCTTACCTGCACCATTCAGTAGGGATGCCTGTGCTGTTTGTTTGATGTCTGCATTTGGGGCTTAAATTTGGGGCCTCAAACCTTTTCTTGGCTTTCTTGCTCACTTTGGGTATGCTACCAACTTGAGGCACGTCTCTCATCCAGAATTTTGCTGGTTAACTGAAGATAGTCACATGAACTTTTCTACCCAGGCTGGCTTTGAACCTGGATCCTCGCGGTTCCAGCCTCCTAAATACCTAGGATTATAGGTGTCAGTTGCCTGCTCTTTTGTGGTTTTGACTGTACAAATAATACACAGAGCGGAGAGATGGGCCCCGCTAAAAAGAGAATCTAGGATGGGTTTGTAGGACAAAGGAAAAGTCGGGGAATGTGCTGGTGGGTCAGATTACACTTGAACACTGCCGCCAAGCCTCCCAAAACACCGAAGGACTACATTTCCCAGAAGCCTTCCCGCACCAGCTTCCGGTTTGGATCAGCCAATGAGATCCCGCGAGATTTAGAAGGCGGAAGTGAAGCGGAAGCCATTACTCTCGGGAGGCGGTCGCAATAAAAACACATGGGTGAAGGTAGGGTAAGTAACGGCTCGGTTTTACCTGTTGAGTCCCTTCCCAGCCCCCCCCCCCCCCCCCCCCCTTCCCCCCCCCCCCCCCCACTCCCGAGCCCCGTAGACCTCTCCTATGAATTCATCCTCAGGCGGCAGTTTCTGAGACATGTTCCCGCAGTTCTGTCAGCAGTGCTGTCCAGTCCCGCTTGGAGCCCTTTACCCCGTGGCATCCGTGAGGGTCCCCGAAACTGGGGGCGGAGGGGGTGTAGACGGAGGGAATTGGGGACCCCAAGGCCAGACAGCCAGGCTGAGGGGGTGTTTTAGACTCCGCGGCCGACGGTACGAAACTCTGGAGATGTGAGAACTGGAATTGGGCATTCAGAGAGCTCTGGTAAATCCGGGCGCCGGTGCTCTCGCCTGTAATCCCAGCTGCTCACCAGGATGAGGTCTGAGGACCACGGTTCGAAGGCAACGGGGACAGGAAAGTCCCGTTGAAACTCTTCTCTCCAGTTAGCCACCAAAAAGCCACAAACGGAACTGGGGCTCAAGTGGTAGAGGGCTAGCCTTTAGGAAAAAAATAATTAAAATAAAAAGATTAAAAGCTCGGGGGCAGTACCCACGCCCTGAGTTCAAGTCCCAGGACCCACACCATAAAGAAATACCCTTGAGGTTTTCAAAGTTCAACTTCGGGAGGAGGGGGAGTCAGGGTGCAAAAGCCTGATTGAATTTAAGACATGGGGTGAAAGGGTCGCAGGAAATAAACCACTTTGCTTTCTGCACTTATCGCTGTATTCGGTTGCATTTTGGCATCATAGTTTGGGGGCTGTTTATGTTGTTTCTTGACATAGTTTTAAATTGGAAACTAGGACATATGTGCAACAACAACAAAAAAAGTGCTAATTGTCACATACACAATTTCAACAGTTAGCAGGACCAGAATAATGTGTATGCACAAATTCAGCTGGAAAGGAGATTAGTAAGTTTCAATACTGGGGCTTGACCCCAGGAGGTGTGGGCAGTGTCCCTTAGCTTTTTTTTGCCTATAGGTGGCACTCTGCAACTTGAGTCAGACAGCCCCACTTCTGGCTTTTTGTTGATTAATTGGAAATAAGAGTGTCATAGACTCACGTGCCCATGCAGGCTTTGCACTGCCATCCTCAGATTTCAGCCTCCTGAACAGCTAGGATTACAGGGGGCTTGAAACCATTAGAGCTCAGCTTGTTGGGTTTTTTGTTTTGGTCAGGGGGCTTGAACTCAGAGCCTGGGAGCTGGCCCTGAGCTCTTTTGCTTAGACCACTTAGAACTGTGGTCCTCAGATCTCAGCTTCTAGAGTAGCTAGGATTACAGGCATAAGCCACCAGGCCTGGCCTAGCTTGTCTTTGTACTGATAGTGGGGCTAGAAACCAGGGCATGGTGCTCGTGAGCCACACTTCCACTTGAAGCTTTTTGCCTGTTAAATGTAGATGAGTTCAGATTTCTGAACCTTGATCCACAGATCTCAGCTTCTCTAGTAGCTAAGATTAAAAGCATGCATAATCTACCAATGGTGGGCTTTGGTAAAGTTTTACAAATATTTGCAAATTAAAGCATTTAGGTTCTGTTTCCTGTCTCCTATATTTGTGTAATTTGGGGTGGACTTCATAAATAGATTTATCATCTTTATCAGGCAGGTAATTGCATTTTCCTTTGAATTGTACACATTTTGTTTCCTTTACTGGGCTGGCTGGAAATGACTGGACTTTGGTTAGCAAATCTTAGGCAGTACTATTTTCTTTCCAATTTTAAAGAGAAACTACTATCTGCTGGAAGTTTTTCTAATAGTTTCTCCTAAAGAAAAGTACTCTTCAGCAAAACAGCTTTTCTAGTAAATTGCTCTAGGCCTTTATCAATTGACTTAATTATGTACATACATCTCTATTGTGGGAAGTTTCTGACACCTCAGTTCCTGTTCAGGCCAGAGAGCTACTGGATATTTTGTTATGGTGAAATTTTTTTTTTTGGAATTTATCCATTCACCTGCCAAAGTGTTCATAATTTACTCATATATCTGCAATGTTTTAGAAATTAGAAGTGTTTTCATTTTTAATACTTAATGGTTATTTTGTTTGTTTTTGTTTTTTCTGTATAGACTCTTCATGTAGACAAAGCTGGCTAGAACTCAGGATCCCTCTTGAGTGCTAGGATTACAGACATGAGTCAGTCACTATGCCTGGTTTAGGCAATGATTTTTTTTTTTTAACTATCTGGGTGCTGGTGGCTCACACCTGGAATCCTAGCTATGCATGAGGCTAAGATCTAAGGATGGTGGTACAAAGCCAGCCTGGGTAGGAAAGTCTTATCTCTAACCACCAGAAAAGCTGAAAGTGGAGCTGTGGTTTAAGTGGTAGAGAGCATTAGACTTGAGCAAAAAAGCCCGGGATCTGAGTTCAAACATTAGGACCAGCACAAAAAAAAGTTGGGTCAGAATTTTGCTTGTTTTATGCCATGTGTTTTCCATTTCATACCTTTGTTTATTTCTATGTCTACTTGACTTTGGTGTTATATTTCTTCTTGCTAGAAAGTGATGGATCTGGCATCACGAGGGACGAGGCTGGAACTCAGGTACTGTGTGGGAGGCCTGCAGTTACAGATTTAAGGCCACTCAGCATTACCCTTCATCCTGTCCCCCTCACTTGCCTCATCCTGTTCTGAAGCCAAATATAGATTCTGATAAAAGTAGAATTGAATGAAAACAGGACAGGGTGACAGTTCTACCCTGTTATAAAGAGAAATTAAACACTAGGTCTGACAGGTTAATCCCCCTTTCCCAATGGCTGCCCACTGTGTTTAGCATTCTGATTTATCAGTCTGGTTTTGTGTATTTTGCAGGAAACATGTTTTGTAGCTGTTCCTAGAACGGGTGATCTGACTCCTGTCCCTCTTCAGGCCGGCAGCTCTTGGTGACCCCCTCCAGCCCTGACAAGCACTGGTGGCAGTGGAGATGGAGGTAAAGAATTGCTCAGATGCTGAGCTCTGATCTGGTTTGCACCACTGCAGAATGCGGGGAGGGGAGGAAGGTATACAGGCCTGAGGTCCTTGTGGTGCCATCTCAGATTTGAGCCACCTTGTCCAGTGTGTTGTGTTCTAGTCTCTGTATCCCTGTTAATTTCACAGGACCTTCTGAGAAGGTTCTAGACCCTCCAGATTCTTTAAGCCCTTTCTTGGTGGCCTCACCAAGACATTAGCCCCATGGAAGCCTAGGCAGGCAAATGCGGGTCCATTTCATTCATTCATCCTTTTGATTCATTTTCCTATTTGCTTTTTTTTTGGGGGGGGGGGTAATTGGTGTGGGGCTTGAACTCAGGGCCTGGGCATTCTCCCTAAACTGTTTTGCTCAAAGCTAGCTCTCTACCACTTTGAGGACATCTAGTTTTCTGGTAGTTAATTAGAAGTAAGAGTCTCAAGGACTTCCCTGCCCAGGCTAGCTTCTGCAGTCCTCAGATCTCAGCCTCCAGAGTTACTAGGATTGTAGGCTGTACCACTGGCCCCATTTTTGTTGTTGTTGTTGTTTTTGTTTTTTTTCTGTTAGAGTGAGACACTGTTACACTATTGTAGCTCTGTAGAAACAGGGATCAAAGCATCAGACAATTCAAAATTTTGTGTTTTGGAGCTTATTGTCAGGTTGGGTACACGATAAATGAGAGACAACAAAAAGTGAGCCTTTGGGGAGACTTTTTATCAGCAAAAAGCAGTAAAAAAAAAAAAAAAACAGAAGTAGAATTTTTGCCAGCAAAAAGCCAGAAGTAGAGGTGTGGCTCAAGTGGAAGAGTGACAGCTATGAGCAAAAAAGCAGGAAGAAGGCCTGGAATTCAAGTAATTCACTGGCATTCTAGTACATTCTAATGCATTCACACTGCACAGTTTTTATATATTTTTTGGTAGTGGAACTTTCAGCCTCACACTTGGTAGACTGGTATTCTGTCACTTGAGCCATTTTTCAGCCTTGCTTTTTTCTGGTTATTTTGGACATAAGGCCTAGCAAACTTATCCATTAGCCTAAACTGTGATCCTCCGTATCTCACCTTCTTAAGTAGCTGGGATTACAGGCCTGAGCCACCAGTGCCAGGCCTGTATGTCATTCCTCAGTTAAACTCAGACCTGCCTGGTGTCATTACTTTTACCACAGATGCCCCTTGCAGAGAGGCCCATCAGGAGGAGAGTGGCTTGCTTATTCTCTCCATGCCCGTGAGGAGAATTGACTGCCATTCCCACAGTATGGCCGCCCTGGGTCTGTCTCCCACATTAAGTAAGTGCCTGGCTTGTCACCTTCAGAAATCATAGGTCAAGGGATGTGTAGACAGAGCAAGTGGGTGGGCAGAATGAACATGGTAGGGGTTGCCCAGCAACTGACAGCCTTTGGAGGTCTAGGGCAGCTAGAGTTGAGAGGGTGCAGTGTCCCCATACCACTAATTGCCTGACGAAAGTGGAGCCCAGTAATTACTTCACCTGCCAGAGCTGCTGTTTCTTCTCTCCTAAATTCACTCAAAATCTTTTTGGTATGCCATGACCTCATGCGGTAGGCTGCAGGCCAAATACAGGTGACCTAAAAATATTGTAAGAAATTTCTTTCAGGCTATGTGCCTGAGATACCTGTGAAGCATCACTAAGATCCTCATTATGTACATTATGTACATACCAGTATTAGAAAACCCTCCCCCCATTCTGAAACACAAAACATTTGTAGTCCTGAGTGTTTTGGGTACAGGATATTTGACATGTGTATTGCTTCTCATGGACATAACACCCTGTTTTTATTTCTGTCTTTGAGAGGAGCAGGGCTGCTCTGCTTTATTGATAAATTGTGTAAGGGGGAGAGGGTGTGTGGACATTCATAGTTGTTGCAGAGAGCTGATTGTCATGCATCTTATTTCCTCCTGTAGCCATGTCTGTCCAGGACCCTGCCTGTCTCCAGGAGCTAGAATTTCCTTTTTCGTCAAAACATCATCCCTGTCCCCAGAATTTGCACCTGATTGCTTGGCGTGGTCTGGAGCCTTGCACACCATCCATTGTTGCTTCTCAGGTACACAAAGGTCTTAGGGCCCCAGGGCAAGATGAGCATTTATTTCTTGGCCTGCTCCCACCACCTTTACTGGGGAATTCTTTAGATGCTCATCCAGGCCAGCAGATGCCTGGTCAGAGCCAAGGAGAGAGCCAGGGATGGTGGCTGGCTGGCTTCATATTGGAAATTTATGTAGCAAGTGTTTCTCTCAGGCTTGCCTAGTGCTCAGGCCCACTTATGCTCAGACCTAGAGGCAGAGGGGAAAGCAGGCAAGAAATGCCTCAAGCGAGACATCCAGCCTTGTTTTGGAAGAATTGAAACTGCCACAAGAGCCCCTCACAATGAGAAGTTGTTAAGCTGTTTGGGGACTTGCCACCTAGAATAGATACCAAGTCCCAGGACACATTCCCTGGAAATCCACTGTTAAGTCTTGTGCCCAGTGTTTCAGCATCTGCCATATTCCCATGAATACCCATAGCGGGTTGCTTACTGTCTTCAACTGTGTGTGCTGTGGCAGGAGTCTGTGACTTTCCAGGATGTAGCTGTGGACTTCACTGAGAAGGAGTGGCCCCTGTTGGATTCCTCTCAGAGAAAGCTGTATAAAGATGTGATGCTGGAGAACTATAGCAACCTGACTTCCCTGGGTAAGGCTGGTTCCATCTCATCATGCAGGACCTAAGCAGAGACTTAGGGACAGCAAGCAGAGCTGAGGTTCACCCTCCACAGAGTGTTGCAGGTATTGAATCTTGACCATCCTATTCACCTTGACCTCAGGGCATTCTCATGTGTGTCTGATGGCCTGCATAGATTTCTGAGATTGATTGTTTTGCAGGATGAACCATGTAGGTATTTGTGGTTTCAGTACATTAAGAAAACAAAACTGTTTTCCTTAGAAAAGTGACACCACCATTTTGTTCTTCCTAAGTCAGACTTGTTCACCTCCAGACCCAAAGAGACAAAAATGCTGACCTAGGCCAAACAGAAAGGGGTGTCCTCTCTTAGCTTGTTGTGTCTCTCCTCCTGAGCAGGGTATCAGGTTGGCAAACCCAGCCTCATCTCACACTTGGAGCAAGAGGAGGATCTGAGGACAGAAGAGAGGAGCATGGAGCGAAGTCCCCTTTCGAGTGAGTGAGCATCAAGCAGACACAAGTGCTTTTGACTTGGTTCTCATCAGTGATGGCAGTGGTGGGTGTTTATCCATTTACTTTTTCTGTAATGAAATACCTGAGGCTTAGTAGCAATAAAGAAGGTTTGTTTCACTTCCAGCTCCTAAGGCTCAGAAAAATATGAAGTTACCCTCCTGGCAAGGGCTTCCTCTAGCTGCATCACAACATAGCAATGGCATTGTAGTGTGTGAACCAATTTGAAAGGGAAGTAGAAGCAGAAAGCTTCAAGACACATGCAAAAGACCTAGGTAAGGCCAGTCTCACTCTTAGAAGAAATCACTCACTCAGAGACAAATGTCTCATGTGATGTGTAGGTGCCTTCAGAGACCTGGCACCTCCCACCATCTTGGCATGTAACAAGGCCCAGGCCTCCACCATGTGACCTCCCAGCTCTAGGTTGGAGTCCACTGGGTAATACCTGCCACATAGGAAATTTTTTCTCTTTGACTTCTGTCTCCTCCTACTGCGTCTTTGGTCTCTGTGTTTCTTAACTTTGAATCTGATATTTCCATACGGAAATATATGCTTGACTGTCTGGATGCTGTTGCTGTGTTAGCAGTGTCAGTCTTACTTGAGTTAGATTTCTTCCCCATCATTTCCAAGTAAACTACACAACCAAATTTTTATTGGCATATATTAACTGTACCCGAGGAACTCTATGACATTCCACACACACATGTAATATACTCAGCCACATTCAACTCCTTTGTTATTCCTTCCCCTTTCCTCCCTCCCTTCTGCCTAGAAGACATACCCTCCACTTTTCATGGCCTTTCCTTCACCTCCCACTTGTCTGTGGGACTCCTTGATTCCTCTTAGAACACATGACAGTCTCTAGTTGCTCACATCCATTTTCTTGAAAGCCATCTAATTTTCTTTATGGAGGAGTAACACTCTGGCTATATGCAAAAACCTTTTTTTTTTCATTCAGTAATGAACAAAGTAGCTTATTTAACTTCTTTGGTTATTGTGAATAGCTTACAGGTATCTCAGTAGTAAGCTGACTTTGATTAGTTTCATGTAATCCTGAAGTAGTATGGTTCAATCTTATGGAAGTTCTATTCTTAATTTTACTTTTACCTGTTTATTACTTTTATTATTATTATTATTTGGTGCTAGTTCAGGGGCTTGAACTCAGGGTCTGGACACTGTTCCTATGCTTTTTTTCCCCACTCAAGGTTAGTGTTCTACCACCTGAGCCACAGCTCCCCTCTGGTTCCTTTGGTGGTTAATTGATAATAAAGAATTTCACAGACTTTCCTGCCCGGGCTGGCTTTAAAGCATGATCCTCAGATTTCAGCCTCTTGAGTAGCTAGGATTACAGGCGTGAACCACTGGTGCCTATTTTTAATTTTTTGAAGGACTTGTACACTAGTTTCCATAGTGAGACACCAGTGTTTTTCACAGTTGTCTTGCTCATGCTGGGATTCTTCCCTTCTACAATGGATTTCACAGTGCACAGTTAGTGTTTGCAAAGAAATCCATCTGGTTCTGTTCCCATCGTCCTGCCATTTGCTTTTTTTCTTACAGCAAGTTAATGATTCTCCAATTATTTTCAGATTGGGAAACTCCATGTAAAGCCAAGTGGTCAATTCTCATGGAAAACATCTTTGGGAAGGAAGTGTCCAGTGGTGTGACAATGGTAAGATTTCCTTTGGATAATTTTGGATCTTCCATCTTAGAAGTGATTGGGGTGGCTGTAAATTGAAAAGTAGTCAGAAGCAGGTAATTAGAATCCAGACTTCCAGAGATGCTGAATATCACTGGGCTTTGGTACCTGCTCCCAGGCCTGTCAGCATCTGAGGATGTTCAAGTTCCTTATATTAAATGGTGAGATACATATCTACATGGAATCCAGCCATGTCTTCTTATCTGCTTTAAAAATTCTCCAGATATTCAATAATATCTAGTACAAGTATAAGTGTTATCTGAGTAGTTTTTCTTAGTGTATTTTGTACATATGCATTACAAATTCAGGGCTGAGTTTTGTTGAAATCCAGACATGGAGCCCACTGATATGGAAGCTTAACTATTGTTGTTTTGGGAAAATACCCCAGCCTTAACCCAGACTTACTCATTTAAGAGTTTATATAACTTGGCTCACCTTTGACTACTGAGGCCCTGAGTCTCTATGTGAAACTTAGCACAAAGCCTTATGCTATGCCGTTTACTTCTTGGGTTTTTTTTTTGTTGTTGTTATTAGGTATTTTTGTTTGTTTGTTTGTTTTGTTTTATCAGTTGTGGGGTTTAAACTCTGGGTGTGAGTGCTATCCCTGAGCTTTTTTGCCCAAGGTTAGCTAGTGGTCTACCATTTTGAGCCACAGCACTACTTCTATTGATTTTTGTTTTGTTGTTGTTTCTTTGTTTAGGGACTCATAGCTCAGAAAGCCTTGGAACCTTGAGTCCTCCTGACTCAGCTTTCTGAGTGCTGAGATTTCAAGTATATTATTATCAGCTGCCTTTTCTCTTTAATAGAGTCAAATGAGACAGGAATATCTTCAGTCATAGTGTGATGTGAGGTGTGTCTACTCATGCTATTCAATGCTTAGATGTAAGGCTGGAGCTGGGGCTCCATGGTAGAGAATGCATGAAGCCTTGATTCAGTTCTTAGCATCAATCAAATAATTTTTTTTAATGTAATAAATGTTGGAAATGCCCAGGTCAACTCTCAATCCTGTTGAACCGACAGGAAAGGAGCCTAACTGAGAAGTCCTCTGACTATGCCAACTTATTTGAAGTCTTAAGCATGGGCCCTCATCTTCCTCAGCCAATGGGAAGTTCTGCTGTGAAGAGACCCTATCACCATTACACTTGTGAGATCTCGTTCAAGACCAGGACCCACCCAGCTCAGCACGTGAGTGTGTATGATGGGAGGAAAATGCACGAATGCCACCAGTGCCAGAAAGCCTTCACCACAAGCGCCTCCCTGACTCGGCACCGGAGGATCCACACAGGGGAGAAGCCCTATGAGTGTGGGGACTGCGGGAAAGCCTTCAATGACCCATCAGCCCTCAGGAGCCATGCGAGAACTCACCTCCAAGAGAAACCTTTTGACTGCAGTCAGTGCGGAAACGCCTTCCGCACCCTATCAGCCCTGAAGATCCACATGCGTGTTCACACCGGTGAGAGACCCTACAAGTGTGAGGAGTGTGGGAAGGCTTACGGCAGGAGCTGCCACCTCATTGCACACAAGCGGACACACACTGGAGAGAGGCCCTACGAGTGCCGGGACTGTGGGAAAGCCTTCCAACACCCGTCGCACCTGAAGGAGCATGTCCGGAACCACACGGGGGAGAAGCCCTATGCATGCACGCAGTGTGGCAAAGCATTCCGCTGGAAGTCCAACTTCAATCTGCACAAGAAGAACCATCTGGTACAGAAAACCTATCAGTGCAAAGAATGCGGCAAATCTTTTGGGGATCTCCTGTCTCGACAGAAACACATGAGGCTCCACATCGTAAAGAAGCCCGTGGAGTGTCACCAATGTGGAAAAAACTTCCGGAACCAGTCCATCCTAAAGACACACATGAATTCCCACACCGGAGAGAAGCCATATGGCTGCGACCTCTGTGGAAAAGCCTTCAGTGCCAGCTCCAACCTCACTGCACACCGGAAGATCCACACCCAGGAGAGGCGTTATGAGTGTACCGCATGTGGCAAAGTCTTCGGTGATTACCTGTCCCGCAGGAGACACATGAGCATCCATCTAGTTAAGAAACGCGTGGAGTGTCGACAGTGTGGGAAAGCCTTCCGGAACCAGTCCACACTGAGGACACACACGCGGAGTCACACGGGAGAGAAGCCATATGAGTGTGACCACTGCGGGAAAGCCTTCAGCATAGGCTCCAACCTGAACGTGCACCGGAGGATCCACACAGGAGAGAAGCCCTATGAGTGCCTCTCCTGTGGGAAAGCCTTCAGCGACCACTCATCCCTCAGGAGCCACCTGAAGTCCCATAGGGGAGAGAAACTCTTTGTACCCTCTGTGTGGAAAAGGCTTTAGTGAGTACTTGGGTGAGCTAGACCAGAAGCCTGCAGGAGATTTGCTCTAACTTTCCAGGGAGTAAGCAGTACTGGTTCTTTCTGTGAGTGCTTGTGCACCTACACTATGGGGAGGACTCGAACACATATCAAGCTCTGAAACACCCAAGAAGTTTGGGGAGAGAAGCTTAGCTTAGCATTTAGTGTTGAAAACCATTTCAGTGCATCTCATCTTCTGGGTCTATAAGGGGCCATCTCTGTCACTGTGATGGCAGGATGGTCTCTCCTGATCTCACTCATGACGAAAGCACCAAAGCACAAAGCAAGGAATGTGGCAGGGGGGCCAGCTGCCTGGAAACATTTTTGGTTTCTAGAATGGGGAATAGTGCTATGGGCACCTGGCAGCCATGTGATTATCCTGTTAGTGCCCGGGAGCCCCCCACCATGTCAGTGTTGCTGAGGCTGATCAGTCTGCATGATTCCACAGTTGTCTGCAACAACCCCTCAGGTCTTGTGGTTCTCATGAACACTTCTGCTAGGAAATAACATTTTCCTTTGAAAACTTATAAATGTAATGCAGTTCTTACAGGAAGCTCGTGAGAACTTTACGCTGCTGATAAATCTTGAGTAGAAATGATTTGTATGCATTGGAGAGGGACCCCAGCAAGTGGTTTCTCCCTTGAGTATGGGATTGCACTTAGTTTTCCCTGGTGCAAACATGCCCAAGCTCATTCATCCTTACTCTTGATGTTCATGGTTATGCTATTCATTACAAAATGTATGTATGTAATTTTTATTTTTAAAAATTTTTGTCAGTCATGGGGCTTGAACTCTGGTTCTGGGCACTGTCCTAATTTTTATTTTTTTATTTTCTTTTTTGTTGTGGGTCTTGAACTCTGGGCCTGGGAGCTGTTCCTCTACTCTTCAGCTCAAGGCTAATAGCACTCCACCACTTGAGCCACAGTGTCACTTCCGGCTTTTTTTTTTCTGCTTAAGTGGTACTAAGGAATCGAACCCAGTGCCTCATGCATGTGAGGCAAGCACTGTACCACTGAGCCACCTTCCTAGCCCCCATGTATTTTTTGTATGAACTTTTTCTGCAGCTTCATTCTAGATAGATAACCTGGTGATTAACTTACTTGACCAATGGCATATTTATCACTGTTCTTTACTGGGTAAGATGGGGATTTTTCAGTACCTGTCTGTTGCTGGTATCAGATCCAAATGGGTAGTGATCCAAGTATGGAGTCTTGATCACATGGGATCCTTTGGAGTGCTTGTGGCCTGCTGTCCAGCCAGGGCAGCTGAGGCTTCCAAGTGTTGCCCTAGTTTTCTCTCTTATTACATCGAAGAGGTCAGGTTCTGTCTCAGTTGAGTTATTTAGAACAGTTTCTGTTGCAGCTGGTACCATCCACTTCCACTAACAGATGAACAGTAGGTTCTGTCTACATTCTGTTTTTCTGGTCTTCCCCCTACTTGTTACCTTGCAAGGAGATCCAGGATGTAGTACTGAAAGGTCCATCTGTTAACCATGAGGATGAAAACTGCAATCTAAGAAGACAATGCAGATGCTAATGCATTGTGATCCTGGGCTCCCTGTGGCTCTGAGTGTGTTTGCCAGCCTCATATTTGTTATATTTCCTATTATATGAAGAAAAATAAAACTGGTTAATGACGTAAGCTGCTGTGGAAATTCCATTGCTTTTGATGTTGCTTTACTGATGAGTAAGAAGAATGTTTTCTAGCTCACTGGATGGAGCCCCTGCTCATTGCTGAGGTGGTTACTGCTATCTCTACATAAGCTATAATGTGGACATAAATGAGTATGGTTTTTCAGGCTGTGTGTGTTTGTGTGCATGTGCACACATGCACCATTATTGGAGCTTAACTTGGCCTTTTTGCTCACAGCCCCCACTCTACCACTAGAGCCATGTGTACAAAACATATAGCTCTTTTATTTTTTTCTTCCTCCCAAAGCAATAAAAAGCTCAGGATAAAGGGAGCATTTATACTACATTATGTTTATGCTGCTTGACTATATATATATATATATATATATATATATATATGTTGGAGATACTTCTGGTTCTTTTGTGTGAAAGAACTTGAGCTTATGACTTTGACTAGAACCAGTCCCTGGCAGGCAGTGCCTCTGTCAGTACTTAAAACATGACTCATTGAGCTTTTGGAGCCAGTGAAGGGGGATCTATAGCAAGGAGGTAGATGGTAAATGCTATGGAGAGGATCTTGCTGGTAAGGATGTAGGTAGATGATGGGTTGGTCCACTAAACCTGTGCTGTGGATGGTGTACAACTGTTTTTGACCGCTTGACCTTTTCAGGAAAGGCTGCACAGAAATAACTGTTGAAGAGACAACTGCAGATTTCAGGTTACCAAGCCTGCTGAGGAGAGGAAGTAAGTGAGAAGTGGATTTGGAAAGTGTCTGGAGGAATCATAAAGGTATTTTCTCTTTTGACAGCAATTACAATTTTTTTTTCTGTGAGATTTTGTGTTTGCGTGGTTCTAACTAAGAAGTGAAAAATACTTTTAACATTGTCAAAACTTCTGTTGTTTTCAAGAAGAGTTGAATCTATATTTTCTTGTTTTTGGTTTTTGGATTTTTGGTGCTAGGACTGGAAGCCAGTGTGGAACATGATAAGCACTTTGCCACTAAGCTTCTCCTCACCCCAGATTGCTTCTTTTCTTTTTTTGTCTGTTCACTTTTATCATATTTAATCTTACTCTCTTGCTCAAGAAAAAAACAATCATCTTTCATTTTAAGAACATAGGTGCATACTTGGCTTCAGCCAACTACTAATTTTGTTGATTTCAAATTTTTATTTTATTTATTCATTTATTTTTGTTCCTGTACTGGGGCTGGAACTTGGGGCCTTGCACTCTTGTTTAGTGTTTTTACTCAAGGCTGGTGCTCTACCACATGAGCCATACCTCCACTTCTGACTTTTTTGCAGGTTAACTGGAGATAAGAATCTCTTATCGTTGTCTAGCTGGGCTGGCTTTGAACCTCTATTCTTAGGTCTCAGGTGTCCTGAATAGCTAGGCTTGAACCACTAGCACCTGACTGAAAATTTGACTTTTAAGCCAACTAGTTACTCCATCGGAGACTAAGGAATCCTGTTTCCCAGAAGTTTCTCTGCTTCATCCAAGAAGATAGTAGACTTAAACTCTTCCTATGGGTTAACTATTCTTTCCAGTTCACCTGTGAGAGAGTCATCCTTTTTCAGCAGAGGAGGAGATAGGTGGGAACATCCTGATTCCTTTCATACCATTGTCAGCTGATTCATCTGCTGGGTCAGAGAGCACAGTGAGTAGGTATATGGTTTTCTTCCTCTGCACCTAGTTCTTCAGTTATGCAGTTTACTTGCACCTTCCTAAGGGAAAAGTGCTCAATGATCTGTGGGCTTTACTGAAAAGTTTCTCAAGACTTATTAGTGAAAACAATAGCAATCACTTACTAGTTCTTACCTAGAGTTAGAATAAAGGTCTATATTCTCTGGAGACCGGGCCTTCAGAGAACAGAAAGAATGCTTCCTCCAAGTTGAGAAATGGAGTAATTATTTTGATTAGGAGGATTGGGAATTCAGCAGAAGTGCTCCCTCTGTGCCCAATTCCTCCATCACACCAGGTGTCTGGGCCACAGAAAGTAATGAGTTCCCATTAGCCCTGATGTGGCCCAGGGATCCTGTACCTCAGTGCATTTCCCTGCCAGTCCTCAGAACACACAAAATACGTCTGCAGTCTCTGGAGGAGACCTGTGATTACTGTAATCCAGTCTTAACTCACTCTGTGTTTTTAATTTCCAAAGTCTCCATCTGCAGTTTGTGTAATGTTTAAGGGACTCAGTTCTTACAGTAATACTTTTCTTCTCTAGGGGATCTTTTATACTTGTGCATTGAGTATCAGTTAAGTTCTCTGAACTTAGGTGTGGGCAAGAAAGAGACCCCTGAGCCAAGTAAAAGTTTTGGAAGAGAAATATAAACAGGACAATTACAAGAATAGTTCAGGAGACCCCAAGGGATGGGTGGTGAACCAGAGGCACAGAGAAGTGTGGAAGAGTTATAGAAACTTCCAGGAGCAGCAGTAAACAAGTCCTGATTCAGGGATACAGAAAAAGATGATACATAACATTACTGACACCAGGGTCCCTGAAGTAGATAATTCTAGAAGGGGCAGGAGGACTGGACAGGTTGTATAGCACATATTTACTAATACCACTGGGCATGGGCCCTGAGTTTCATCACACCCAGCAAAAAATATATATTTAAAGAAAGAGTTGAACTTAAAATATCCTTAACCATTGTGCCCTAGTACCTCTCAAATATAAGTGCTAGGTAACCTGGGATGGGAGCATGAGTAGTGGTCAGGCATCTGAAGTGGGAACCAGATTTGGGGAAGTCTGACCAGGAAAGGATAATGGCAAGCAGGTAGCTCTATGGCTTTACTTACATTTCACATATGAGGCTTCTACAGATAAGACAGGATGAGTTTCCTTTCAGGGCCTTGTGCAACCAGGCAGATGTTCTACCACTGAACTACATTCACAGAGCTTGCTCCCTCCTAAAGTACACATCAAAAAGAGGTCCCTGAGAAAAACTTCAGCATAGATTGGTAGCAACCACTATAGATAAGTAGGTAGGTAGATGGATGGATAGATAGGTAGGTAGATAGGTAGATAGATAGGTAGATAGATAGATAATGGAGGGAGAGAAGGATGATGAATGGGTAGATGATATACAGATACTGAGGGTGAGGAAGGTAGGAGAGAAGACCCTGGATTAATAATGGATGGATTGATGAGATAGGTATATCAAACAAGACTGGTGTTCTGACAATGGGGCTCAGGGCCTCTTCCATGCTAGCTAAGCACTCTACCCAAGTTCTATCCCTTTTCCCAGATAGCAAGCACCAAAGTAAGATTCAATAAAATACACAGTGAAAGGTCAATGGCAGACTGTCCAGGTGTCACTATTTCTAGATGAAGATGGAAAAGAATGGATCAGGCATGAAGCTGGAACCTTGAAGAACTGAGAAGGTTTAGATGGGCCAGTATTGTATAGATATATGTTGTTTTGCTTGTCTTCTCCCAGCCTGTATACTTGAACTTGCTTTTTTCTTCCATTGGGGTTCATATGAGTTTATATTCTTGAGGAATGTTGTTACTTATTGGTTATCTCACTTTGCCTCTGCAGGAGAGCCTTTTGTTTAATTAACTGATTGAAGCTTATCAATTCTAATGGAAATGTCTCTTTAGAGCTCCCTTTAAGTCCTTGTTCCTCAGGTTGTAGATGAAGGGGTTCAGCATGGGGGTGTACATTACTGAAGCAATCAACCCCTCCCTGGAGGGGTGGGCTGTTTCAGATATGAGGTATACTCCAAGGCCTGCACTATAGAACAAGGTAACAAATGGAGAGGTACGACCTGCAGGTGGAAAATGTCTTGTACCTCCCTCTGGAGGAGGAAATGCTCGCTATAGAGGTGACATTTTTTTTTGGGGGGGGGTCCGGTCGTGGGCCTGAACTCTGGGCCTGGGCACTGTCCCTCAGCTCTTTAGCTCAAGGCTAGCACTCTACCACTTGAGCCACAGTGCCACTTCCAGCTTTTTTCTTTTTCCTTATGTGGTGCTGAGGAATCGAACCCAGGGCCTCAGGCATGCAAGGCAAGTGCTCTACCACTGAGCCACCTTTCCAGTCCTAGAGGTGACATTTCTATACTATGAAAATAGAATCCCAGATGGGGATAACACCCAACAGGCCAGTGACACAGTACAATAGAACATCATTGGCAAATGTGTCTGAGCAGGTGACCTTGAGGATCTAA